GAAATGATTAAAAAAAAGGAGTATTTTTCAAATGTGTTCCTGCCATGTTAAACGTACAAAAATAGCAGAATGGAATAGAAAGGACCATCAGTTTAAGAAGCCAACCAAGATGGTTGCCGTATTGAACGAATAATACATTTTGCCCGCTGACGTTTTGGCTAATTAAATTGTCAATCAAATTTTTTTTGCCTGTTTCCTTGCGTTTTTTTCCCGCTTCTCGATTTTTCTTCAAAACAGAAATAGAAAATGTTTCCTTTCCGTTGTTACCCCACTCCTCACCAAACAAGGATCAATGTTAAACTGGCTGATGACAGGCTACATGTTGAGCTTATTACTTAAGCCTTGTTCAAAAGACTTCTTTTTAATCATTTCATCCCAAGCAAGGCGATAAAAACCATTATGACGCAAGGGGTTGCTGAGAGTGATAAAAACTCAGAAAACTAATATCGAGTTCAATGAAAGAACAGGACACAAGGAGACGGAAGATGGCGATTGACCTTGCATTTACATTTTTGAAGATCGTAATTGTATGGAAAGCAAGAAGTCAGAAGAGAGTTCCACAAGTGAGAAGTGCGAGAGAAGTAGTTAATAGAATAGAACTTACGACTATGTCTAGCCATTTCAACAATGAAATTAAGAGACCAATCTCATATTGCGTAGTCAAAGTACTGTGGGAAAATGAAATAAAACCCAATAAAGTAATAATAATGAATAAAAATAATAAATTTATTTTCCCATGATGCAAATTATAAAGAAACCGGAAAGGGTTTCTGGTCACATTTGCAATTTTATGATCCGACTTCCGGAACGGACAGAATGTCTTTCTTTCTTTACTTGGCTTCAAGATGTGAACCACGTGGTAATTACGTTTCCACAGGGGAATGTTAGTTTCCCCAGTTCACTGACAACTGAACTTTTTCAACGTACCAACAATTTCGTTCTGACATTGTTTTCAGCAGCCCTACTCATGAAGCAGAAGTTCGGCCATCCCAACTCAACACGAGGCTGACTTGAGCTCGACCATTTTTTATTTCTGAACTAAAAAGGAAAACGGACATACTCAAGAGACATTTCACTATGTTCCAATGCAGTCAACATAAAAGGAATAAACGTTAGTAGCAGAAACTCAAGCTGTTGATCACGCCAGATTATGCGCTCTCTCCCATAAACTGCAACTAAGGTCCGCTCAGCATAGTTGCTGTAAAAACCATAGTTTTGTCAGTAGAATCTTATATTAATACTGGTTTACTCATGGCATCAATTATGTTGTAATTCATTGGAGGATCAGTTTATCCCCAACTTTATGTTCATTAGACTCTTATATTGATACTAGTTTACTCATAACATCATTTATTATATTGAATTAATTGGTGGATCAATTTATTACTTAATAAGAATAGACAACTCGATCACCCATTTTATGTCCAGTAGAATCTTATATTAACAATAGTTTATTCATGGTATCAATTATTATTGCAATTCATTGGGGGATCAGTTTATTACTTGGTAACATTAGACAACCAATCCCCTTTTTATGTCCAGTAGAATCTTATATTAATACTAGTTTAAGAATGCCCTTAAAAACTGACGTCATGTTTTGTCATGTCCTTACTATTATTAGTTTTCCACACGTGTGTCTTTAAATTTAAACGGATTTTTCCAATGATAATATAAATCTGTATTAATTTTGAAGGGATCGGTTTATTCCTCAATGACAAAGGAAAATCAGACACCCACTTTATGACCATTAGTTTACCTATGCTGTCAAAAAATAACTCCGAAGGAGATAAATCTGATGCGGTAACAATAGCAGCAAAAATATACAAATAGACATATATATAGAGGAGGGCTGTCGCCTCTTTAAACGAGTATGACCATTGCTGACAAGAGATGTCATTAATGTCCATTCTGAGAATATAGGCGTGTACACTTGCACACGATTCACACCAACAATGGTAAGAATCCAAGAGACAACCGGATGCGCGATATCCGGGTGTTAGGCGGGTGTTTCATCACACCTTTCCTTCTCTTAAATGGATACCTTATTAAAGGCTTACGGTTCATCACTCCCACTGGGCTAGCATATATATTTGTAAAATTATGTGCACGTATTGCATTAAACGTTGATAAATCAACCTAGGAGACAGTGGAGTGCATGTGTGGCCAATGTAAGAATTTAATGTTGTTTGTTGATTGTTAGCTCTGGTGATACAATCTCCCAAAGGACATGAAATTTATAAACAATATTATTTTTTTACATAGGGTGGATTTTTGTGGCGCTGAATTATTTTTCAATATTATATGTGCGAATTGCACTAAATTTTGACAAATTACAAGTTAATCTACTTTCAGCATGATAATTCACATGCAACACACTCTCTCGTAGGTTGACTTGTCATTTGTCAAAATTGAGTCCAATTTGCGCTGATAATTCAAAAAATATTTTAGTATCTGAAACATCTACCATATATATATATAATTTTATCATATAGACAATACTATTGTACTCACTACAAAGATGGACCATTTTCGATTCTTACCCGTCGAAGTGCAGTTGAAATGCACTGAAACGAAGTTGCATCTTTGTAGTGAGTAAAATAGTTTTGTCTATATGATAAAATTATAATAAATAAATAATTATCGCTCTACTATCGGTATCGAGCCCTCTTTTGGATTAATGCTGTGAACGTTGGAATTTATATATTACTTTTCGTTTTTCATCGCATCAATATATATATATATATATATATATATATATATATATATATATATATATATATATATATGCCGTAATTTCCCAAGTATAATAAACCTTCATCCATAATACGCACCCCTAAAATTGTGGGAAAATGCTTCTAATCACGCATAATATATACCCCTTGTTTGGTAATAAAACCCTATAAATTGTATCTCTCCAATTTCATTACGGCCAGCGTTTCCTACTTTTATTAAAAAATTGTTTTAAACATAGAATAATATTATTCTAATTTAGTTTTATGATAATTTTTATTTTATTTTACATTTGTAAATATTGTTAGGTACATATGATTGTATTTGACATCTTTATGGGGTCGCAATCACCGAATGTTTGTGTCAAATTGTCCTATGTTTGTGGTGAGTAGTCATTGCGCAACTGAAATCGACCTATGAAACGGCAATTTTTTAAAGATATTTTGTAGCTGTGCATAATACGCACCCTTAATTTTGCTTATTATTTTTTAGAAAAAAATGCATATTATACATGGGGATTTACGGTATATATGTATGTATACATAGTATTAAGTTGCAAAGGTTTATAGGTGCCAAAATTGCTGGTTCTTTTTCCATAGTTTACTAGTGGGAAAGTAGTTTAGGCAGGCAGTTTTTTGTCATAAAGTGTTCGATATCAAAAGGTAAAGACAGAGCGTTAATAAAATTAATGTGGAGAAACTTATCACTTAACTGAGTCATGCCGACTTCGAAGTTTCTTAACACATGATTGAACCAACACCACTCAGTTAAGTGGTAAGTTTCTTCACATTAATTCTATATATGTATCTATGTAAAAACTACAGATAGAGTATATCTGTAAAAGGACAAAACGCGTAGTCTAAGTTTTGCTCTTTTCTTTATTCATATTATCATTTTTTTAGATAACCTATCTGCAATTTTTACGCACAAACACACACACATATATATATATATATATATATTATTTTTTATGTTTATACGTTCTTTTTATAAATACAAATATTTAAGTAAATGCTCTGTTTATAATAAACAGTATTAACAACATTTACCAGCCTGAATGTCCGAGAAATTTTCATAGAAAATATGCGTCCTCCGACAGGAATTGAACCTGTATCCTATACGGAACCGTCATATAGCCTGACGTGCCTTAACCGATTGGGCCACAAAGAAGCGTTGAGTTAGCAAAGTCGATTTTACTCTTTTTAAACACAATTCTACATGATTTCCTCTCAAAAATGTCTTAAAAAATAATTGTCAGACTTTGTCCATTTCATATATATATAGATTTTTAAGCTGTTTTCTTAATTTATCATTATATACATATACTTGCAGCATGGCCCGGCGTTGCCCGTGCTTGATTCAAAAATCGTACGACTCATACAGCAATCGCTATCACTTGACTTAAAATATTTTTGCCCTTCCTTGCCTTTAAAGCAGTGCTCTTTGCCGTGCTGATGTTGCTACATGCCTTACTTCTTGCCTATCTCACATATTGCCTACATTTTCTAAGCTCTATACTAAACATTAAATCTGCGACGAAAAAAGAACTAAACAAAATGAACACAAAACGATCAGCTTTAAAAAAAGGACTCGTAACTGGAAAAACCGAATGAAAAAAGAATGTTAACAACAAATACTTTTTCATACCCAACCCAGTTCTGCGGAATCAGAATCAACGTTGAGTTTAAGCAAGCGAAAGAGCCAATTGAAGTAAAGTGCCATGCAGATTTTAATTTTTCCCACTTGTGACGAATGCAGCTATCGATTTTTTTGCATGCTAGCATGTTAGTTAACATTCGTGTCAGTCAGCTGTTGGCTCTCACGCTGGCCAATAGAATCTTCGTACCTGTTCGTGGCAGCCAGCTATAGGCTCTCACACTGGCCAGTAGAAAATGGCCGCAAACTACATGAAAACTGCCGTAGAAGCATGAAAAAATTGATTATTTCCACTATAGATGGGAGTTGGGAAATGCTAAGTCGGTCTTGGCCTTCCGACTAACTTGGAGCATGTGCATGTAAATTTTGGTACAAATCCGTCGAAAATTGCGGCCGTGCATTCGTTACACACACACACACACACACACACACACACATATATCCTTTATTTATATATATATATATATATATATATATATATATATATATATATATATATGAAAGTATTGTCATTTTTAACTATATATAATATAGCTTGAAGTATTAGAGTCAAGATAATTATGATAGATTTACCTTAGATAAAATTCCTCAAGAGAGGAAACCCGTTGGTAAAGAGAAGTTTTCTTTTTATCTTAATCTATCTTCTCTATCTATCTATCTATCTATCTATCTATCTATCTATCTATCTATAATTATTTACCTGATGACTTCATGTTTAAACTCGCTCACAGCGTTACAGGTAATAAATCATATCAGTTTTTTTAATGATGTAAAGGATTTGCATCGTTGTTCGCCGATGTTTACTCACGAATGTGTGTGTAATTCTTCAGATTTAATCCCCTTTGAAAGATTTTTGCAAGCGTTTAGACTATTGAAGATTTAGATACCACCATTTTGGTCCAGTCCTTAAAAACAGAGGAAGGCAAAAAAAAACTTTTTGCCTTCACCAAACCCATTTTGATTTCTGTACGATTTACACCAAAAAAATCTAATCAAATCCACATTAACAACTCAATCCTGATTTACAAGAAAAACTTGAATGATAGGAAACCTCTGTATCATGATCGATCGACAAGCCGATATCGATCCCTTGCCACTAAGCAAACAAAAATTTTGGTTAACTAGCAACACATTCACATGCAACAAGTAAACTAAAATAGGGGGAAAATATTTGTATGATTTAAGGGAGGAGGGAAAATGTGTAAGTCGAACAGAAGAAATAAAGAGAGGGTGAGAGAAAAAGGGTGAAACGGTAAAAAATAAAGAGCGAGTGAACGAAAATGGAAATTCATTGAAAGGAGGAGAATAAAAGAAAGGCAGATTTTGTAATGGTGGGTGATCGCTGGAAAATGAGTGCTTAATGTTCCGAGGAATAAGTCAGTGAATTAGGGGAGAGCGATAAAGAATGTCGATGGAAGAGAAATGAAGAAGTGGAAAAGTCAAAACGGAGAAAGAAGAACCGACTAGGAAGGAAGCAGAAAGAAAAAACAAATAAGAAAAAGAAAACGAAGCGAAGAATGCGAAACAAATTGATGGTGAAGGAAGTGCAGAGAAATGGAAAGCCCCAAGAAGCAGACGATAAAGTAAAGTAATGAATAGAAACCTCTTTCAAATGGATTTTCAAACTTACCACCTGGAAATGAAAGAGCGTGTTAAAACCAAGAAAGAAGAGAAAAGAGAAGTGTATTAAATAATAGACGCTAAGGAAATTCCAGTTGATTAATCATTTTTTACACGCTTCTAACAACAAAATTGCCATTCTTTAAAAAACAAAACAAGAATTACTCAATCACTGTAATATGCCACCACTGAATACCAAAACAAAATTTATAACCGCTGAGATACGCATGAACCAGCCTGTAAAAAGTGACCCATGCAAATCAAAAAAGAAACTTTCCAAAAAGGTAAGACTTTACGATTTAGCATGAAGCGTTTTCATTATTTCTTTTACGTTAAATATTTGGTTATTCATCAGAAAACGGAATAAAATCTGAGCCAGATGTAATTCTCTTTAAAAAAAATTATCAATTATTTCAAAATCAAACATGAAAGTTTGTAGAAAATCATTTTCCTTCGGCATTTTTTGTTCGTTGTTTTTTGTTTTGTTTTCTTCAAATGGTAATCGATATCGGATTCGATTTTTAATATACGGAAAATTGGTTGCCAAATTTGAAGCCATTACGAAATACAAAGCGTTCTTCCTCGAATTGAACCACAAAAAAGAATAAAAACAGGGGAAAGCAATCCATAGATACAATACGCAATATATTTCTTTCTTTCTTTCTTTCTTTCTTTCTTTCTTTCTTTCTTTCTTTATCTATCTATCTATCTATCTATCTATCTATCTATCTATCTATCTATCTATATCTCTTTCTCTATCTATATTTGTTTATCTTTCTCTCACTCTCCATCACACATACTCTATCTCTTTATCTATATTTCTTCCTCTTTCGCGTTCTCTCTCCCTCTCACTCTGTATATCTTTTGCTATATATTTCTCTTTTTTTTCTCATATCCAAACTCTCTATATATATACCTGTTTAGCTAGCTATCTCACTTTTTCTCTCTCTTGTTATCTATCACTTTATGTTACTTTCTTTTTTTGCCTCTCTCTATATATATCTACCTCTTGTTATATATCTTTTTCCCTATCTATATTTCGTTCCCTTTCGCGCGCTCTTTCTTTCTCTATTGCTATATATTGCTCTTTTTTATCTATCTTATTTTCTCTCTCTCTTTATCTATATTTCTCTCTCTTTCGTTCTCTCTATATATATATGTATGTATCTATCTCACATCCTCTCTCTCCCTCTCGCTATCTATCTCTTTAATTATATTTGTTTCTCTTTCGCTATCTATCTATCTATCTATCTATCTATCTATCTATCTATCTATCTATCTATCTATCTATCTATCTCTTGCTATATATCTCCCGTTTCTATATTTTTTTTCTTTCGTTCTCTCTCTTTCTCTCTTGCTATATCTCTCTCTCTAAATTTCTTTCTCTTTCGCTATCTATCTATCTATCTATCTATCTATCTATCTATCTATCTATCTATCTATCTATCTATCTATCTATTTCTTTATTTATGTCAATATCTTTCTTTCTATCTCTTCCTATATATTTCTTTCTCTATATTAATTTTTCTTTCGTTCTCTCTCTCTGTTTATCACATTTTATCTCTCTGTCTCTTGCTGTATATATATATATATATATATATATATATATATATATATATATATATATATATATATATTTTTTTTTTTGTTTTTGTGACCCTGGGTTTCACGCTTTTGTAAGTACCACGCATATAATATATAAATAATTATATATAAATATATTTATATACACACATTTTTCATATATATATATATATATATATATATATATATATATATATATATATATATATATATATATATATATATATATAAATAAAAATTTTTTAATATTCCATGGTTATAATTTATTACATTGGAATCGTTTGGATCGTGATTACGATTTTTTGTAATAAATTATAACCATGGAATATTAATGTTTGAGCCTTTTATATTATATTCTTACTCTGTCCAGGACATTGAGTCCTACCTGGATTCTATCCTCTTGGGAATTTATGGCGCTATATATATATTAACCACTATGTTATATTATATATATATATATATATATATATATATATATATATATATATATATATATATAATACCAATTTGTAATTGGTAGGGATAATTGCAAGGAGGACATTAATCCAATGATAGCTCATTGTAAGTTACAGAGCAATATATAATGATAAATCAAGAAAAAAAGAAACTTTAAACCTTCGGTCTGAAGAGTTGCATACATCAATATTCATGAAATAAATTATAACCGATATGGATTTTTAAAAAGTTTTCTTGATTTATCATTATATATATATATATATATATATATATCTTTCGCTATTTATCTATTTTCTCTCTATCTACCCATCCAACTACCACTAATTATGTATATATCTTCGTCTCTATCTTTTTATCTATATCTTTGTTCTCTCTATCTCATTTTCTACATATATCTCTATCCTTTTCTATCTATCTATCTATTTATCTCTCTCTCTCTCTCTCTCTCTCTCTCTCTCTCTCTCTATATATATATATGCCATTAAAATCGACTGACAATGTACTGTGGTTAAATTTTGAGTTAATTTTTCTTGTGTTCATATTATTTTATTTTCTGGACATAAATTATGTAGAAATTGTCGAAATGTTTTGTATGCCCTAGCCCTTTCGGTTGTACCTATCAAGGATACATATTTAGAAATTCTTGATAAAATACAAAAAAGAATTGCAATGTTATTGGTCCTGACCTGATATCTCGGCTTCAGTCACTTTACCACCGCCGTTACGTAGCTTTCCCGTGCTTTTTCTATAAATACTTTCATAGTAATTGTTCTGATGAACTTTCCGCTACGGGGGCTAGACTTTATGAATTCAAGCGCAGTACTAGATTGGCGGCAAGTGCTCATCATTTTACAATTGAAATGAGTAGATGCAACCGTAAGTTCTATGCTAACAGCTTCTTCTATCGCATTTCTCGTTAGTGGAACTCTCTTCCGGCTTCTTGCTTCCCAGTCAACTTTGATCTTCGAAAATTTAAATGCAATGTCAATCGTTATCTATTGTCTTCTTCATTCTTGTTCTTTTAGCCCTCTCTCCTTAATAGTATTTCTCATATTATCTCAGTAACCCCTTGCATCTTAGTGGCTTTATTGCTTTGCTTGGGATGAAATGATTTAAAAAAATCGATTATTTAATTTTATTATATATTACTTAACGAATCCCGTTTTTTTTTAATAGGAGTAGATAGGTCTTCTTATCACCCGGTCCATATTCCTCCCTCCTTTTGAAGAGGAGTAGCGACTCATTCTTTGTTTCCTGCTTAGGAGGGGGTGCCCGGTTCCTTTCTTCTTCTTCATGAATTTTTGGTGATGCGTGTGGATAGTGGCTACGTCTCTTCATACTGTGGATACCGGGTTGGCAGATTTCTAGTTGCTGCATCCCGACTGGCATTTAGGAGCCCGAGCTCCTGGGTAGCGTCTAGAGAGGCTGTTCTGATCAGCAGTCGCATAGTATCCGGGTTCTTGTAGTGCCATCTCGAGCATGGAAAGGTGTCCCAGAGTTCACACTATGCTGCATTCTGCGCAAATTCCCAGCTCGCGCATGTTAACTTGGACGGCCGACAGCTACTACTATTCTTGGTCTTTTCCTAATCCAAATAACACATCGTGACGATAAACAACCAAATAAATAAAACTAAATCAGCTCGACAGAAATCACCAAAACCCATCGACCTTTCTTTCTCCAACTTCTGCAGCGGGAAGGAACAACTCAACACCGCCAACTCAACACCGAAATTTATTTTCAAGAAATTTATTTTTTAATAAAGTAAATTGACATATAAAAAAATGATTCAATAAAACAAACACGTTTTTACTTGTTTTTAATAATTTCAAATATTTTTATTTGTACCTCCTTACTTCTTAAAATAAGGACCGTAACTAAATGTTAATTTATATTCCATCCGTGATACACGCTTAGGCGATCATGTATCGAAAGATACATGACTGACGAGGCAGTTTTTTTTTCCACAGTACGTTGCCATTTCTTTCTGCGGTAGACCAATTGCCATCCAAGGCTATAGAACCCGGTCTGTCCTGCTATCTATCCATAGCCGGGGGTGAGGAGAAGAAGAGGATTCATACCTTTCCCACGGGTATTAGCACGCAAGTGAATATAATGAATTCGACTGGAATTCGAAAAATAATTTAAAAAGCAGATTATTATCTCTTGTATGTGATAACAGATAATTGCATAGATAGAAAATCTTACATTACTCCTACAGATAATATAACGAATGTAATTGCAAAATATCTTAAATATAGCCGACATTTTCCTTTTTTTTTGTATTGTAGGCCGTGTTAGCTTTCTTTGAATGTTTTTACTTTTAATGATTTAAAAAGCAAAATTATTCCTTACATGTTACAAAGTAGCCACGCAAGTGGTGAACTTTCAAATGTAGTGGCTTTGGTCAATTGAATGTAACTCAGAAAGTTAGATTTTCAAACGTAGCCCCTGCCTTCAACTTGCACACCTGATCCATATATTAAATCACTTGTTTCAAAATGTCTTTTTTCATCTTATTTTTAATAGTTGCTGTTTAGGCAAGACGAGAAGCAGGGAAAGGAAAATAAATCCTCTGGGGATCATTTGACTCTCAATGAGAGATTCAACATGTTAGAAGTGACAGGTAAGAATCCTACGACCAGTATACTTCTAATGGTATTGGTAATATTAACCTTGTTCCCATAAAGAAACATTTGGCATTCATTGACCGAGAAGTCAGTAGTTTTCAATTGAAATTTATAAAATCTTTCTCTTAAAACACCTTTTCAGGAAAACAAGTCCAGTATTTTGTGGGTTACCCCATTTGATTTTCCTAAAATAACCGCCGCTAGGAGACGCTCCTTAAGCTTATAAATAGGGAGTGATATTCTCTTACCTCTTTTACAACTCCGGCTATAAGATGTAGTCACAGGCGGGAAAAAGTGCCCCCCCCAACTGGGGCACGTTCCCTTTCAATGTATTACTATTCTCTCGTTCATATTTGTACTCTTTCACACACGTGTCTATCACGTCGGCCTACACAAACTTCATACACACAAACACATTCTTTAGTATAAATGTTTCTATGTAATTAGTCTTTAATTGTTTTCTTCCTTTATTGTCATTGTATACTTTTGTTAATACATACATTGTCGTTTGTTTTATATACTGTTTTGTGTTATTTATTTATTACTCGGACTCATATTCGAGTCTGCATATAACTGTTACGGGAAAAATATACCAGGAGACACGTGTTTTCTACATAAACACAACAAGCATTCCCGCAACAAGCTTTTATCGCTATTTTAATTCAATTTTTAGTATAATTTGCCTTTTTTCCCCGTCTTATATCGAGAAATACAGACGCGGGCTGGAACGTAGAAAAACGAACATTATATCATAAATTGATGCAAAGCATTGCAAGTGTAACAAGAAAAATGTAAGCGGCAAACCTAGGTTCGAATTGTGGTCGTGTCGGTTAATATTCATTTTACTTAATAATTTCGGGTCAAAGTATACATCTACATCCCCGCGATCGGTCAAAATGCCAAATATCAAGAACGAAATATGGTCTCTGCCACATCCTCCAAGAGACAAGAGTGAATGTAATTGTAATATTTGACCGTTTCACTCCTAGGAAACACTTGGCGTTCGTTGACTGAGCAGCCAGTACGGCTGTCGGTTGAAATTTAAAAATTCTTTCTCTTAAACACCTTTTTTTTTCTTTTTTTTTTTTTTTTTTTTTTTTGAATACAGGTTTCTCAAGTGCAGTAGTGTTTATGGCTCTTTCCAGTATTGATGGGGTTTTTCTTGCTAACCTTTTATTTGAAATGATGTGTAACGTTAACATCTTGATTATGTCATTATTTTCTCTTCGAGTAACATGTGCTATCCATTTAAGCTGTTGCTGTTGTTGGTAGTCCTCAAATGATGTGGCATCTGTTATTGGGTACAGTTATTTTTTTTCATGATTCTGTAATGCCAGTCCACGATGTTCAAAGAAGGATGATCTTTGTCAAGACTCTCAGGCCTTACTTGTTCAAATCCTTTTTTTTTCATCAGGAACACGACAAACAAATAAGAAACATTCTAATGCTAAATAAATTCGGACCAAATTTTATAATTTTTACATTATTCACCTCTAAAGTAAGATGGATTTATACGTTTTCCAAAGGTAACAAAAAGTAAAAGTAATTATAAAATTGCATTAGTTATATTTGTTTCAACTGTAATCTAGAAATTATATATCCAGGAGAGCCACTCAAGGTAGAGGGTTAAGTTTTATGAACGTAAGAACTGTCTATTATGAGGATAAGTAGGATAGATAACGTTTGATCCTAGACTTGAAGAACTTAAAATTGTAGTGATCGGGGGAGCATCTTTTCGGGAGTCTGTTTTATAAAAATGTTGGCTATATGCAGAACCGGTGCAAGGGTCTCGTGTCCCCCC